TTTATAATACATTTTAATAACTTTACTTGGAGCTAAGAATTCACTGCAGTGTCCAGCTTCTATTTCCATATAAACTCTAAAACTTTTAATTGAACCCACATGATTTCAGCGGATCATCATGCCAAGAGATCACAATGTTCACACACACAGACACACAGCCAAATGTGTTTTTCCCCATTTTTTTTCGACTTAACGACAATGAAATATAGTGAGTTTGTGGCTCTCCCCTGTGAGCATGTCAACCTAAAACCAGTAACTTCCTACGGGGTCAGAGGTCAGCGATAATGACTTCCAGAAAGTGGCGTCGGGGAAGGCCAGGGTCAAGTTCACATCTGGGATTATCGAGGTCATCGCGGTGCTGTGTTTCATAGAGGTCATGTGGATGATAAACCCGAGAATGCTACTGGTGTGAGGTTTTTTTGTCTACCCTCGCCGTGGCAGGGCATCTGGTTTAAAGGGCCCATATTACACTGTTTTTGATCTATGTTATAATGATGGATCCTTGTCAAAAACAGACCTGGAGTTGTGTTTTGTTTCAGTCACACATGTTTAACACACAAATCCTGCATATTTAGGTTGAGTTTTTCTCTCAAATGAAAATACAAGAAGTGCTCCACTGTGTTTTTAAACTTTATACTCTTCTCTCTACTGAACAAAAGGTAAATATAGCAGTTAACTTGAAAATTATTAAGCATTTTGATCTTTGGAGATGTAGAATAGATGACCTACTAAACCAGGATTACTCTGCTTATGTGTGAATGAAGAAAAAAAACAACAACTCCAGGTCTGTTTTTGAGGAGGTAATAACATTATAACCTGGCTTAAAGCCCACAAGAGTCCATTTTGTGTAATATAGGACACATAGTCAAAATGATGTTGTTTCTTTAGCAGTCTAGAAGCACTTCTGTACTTCCACACATCACAATTTTCAGTTTGAGAGAAGAATTCAGCCTCAATATGCAGGATTTGTGAGCTAAACGTGTGAATGAAATAAAACGCAACTTGAGATGAGGAACATTATAACATAGATTAGAAAACAGTGCAACATACACTAACTGTCAAAAGTTTTAGAACACCCTCATTTTTCCAGTTATTTATTGCAATTCAAGTCGTGCAAGTCCAATGAAGAGCTTGAAATACAAAGTACAAAGGTAAGAACTGCACAGCCAGAGGTTAAAAAAAGATAGAAGATAACAAAACACAAGTCCAAGCTCTGCCAAAACTACCTCAGGAAAAAGAACAAGATGGTTACGCTTGAAAACATGGCGTGTCCGGCACAGTCTCCAGACTTAAACCCCATCCAGCTACCTACAAGTGCCACATACTTATGAGAACTTCTGCAACAGATTTGGGAAGAACTGTCTGAAGAATAATTTCTATTTTAGAAAGAACTAGCCACAAGTGTGTTCAGCTGTTAAATCTGCCAACGGTGGACACTTTCATGAATCAAAAGTTTAGAATATGTTTTGGTCAACAGTAAACAGTAAAAAAGTGGGAAAAAGTGTGGTGTTCTAAAACTTTTGAGCTGTAGTGTAAGACCTTTACTTACTTTGTGTATTTATTGCTATGTCTAGTCATGTTTACATTAAGAAACATCTGATGAGCTCCAAAATGTGGCTCATTATCTGATTTCTGGTGTTATCAGATTATTGAAATCATGTAAAGACTAGTCTGTTTTCTCTCTGACTGGAGGGGAAAGGACAATTGTGCAAAAATGAAAAAAGTGGCAAAGATAAAAATGAAAAAGAAGATTGAAAGAAAACAATTGCTACCCTAACTCCACAAATTAACTGTAATCAGGGTTTTTCATGATCAGATTTCTTGCATGTACACACACAAAAAATACTATCTAATTATTGAGTTATCTGATTATTCTAGTTACCTGATTTACTGCCCAAGTAACGTGAGAAAGATAAACTGTATTCTGTTCTTTGTGCAGGTGAGATCAGTTACCTCCCTCATGAGAAACAGAAAGGTGAAACACACACACACACATACTTGGAAGAGCTTTGAGAAGTTGGCCCTGCAGGAGCCAAGTAATAATGTAGTAATCTATTTCTTTTTTACATGTAGACTTTTCCTTCCCTCCTCTTCTCTTCGCTCTATCCATCTCTGTCACCGTGTGTTTGCCTTTGATCTTTGCTGACTCAGGGACTGTCTTCTTTTGGCCGAGATAAAAAATGACCTGCTCTCCACTCTCTAACTTTCCCTCTTCTTTCAATCTCCTGGAATGCGTCAGAGCGCCACAAAGGAACAAAAGAACGGCAAGAGGAGGAAGAGATGAGGAGGAGGAGGAAGAGATGAAGAGGAGGAGGGTTGAGAGGTGGGTAAAGTAGATAAAAAAAAGTAATCAAGTAAGAGTATCGTTACTTCAAAATAATGTTACTTAAATAGAAGGAAGTCAGTGTAATGTCTCAGTATTTGTACTTCAATAATAAAAGTACAAATAACACTCAAATGCTCAATTAAGAGTAAAAAGGTTTATGGGTAAACTACTAATAAATAAATCAGATCAAATATATAATTTCAACTTAATGCAACTGGAAGGACAAAACTTGAAATACTCGAAATCTGGTATTGTCTGAATAGATCACAACATTTTAACTTAATCATATTTGAAGGAGTGGTTCAAGAAACACAAATGTTTTAATTATTTTACATTGTCAGAATAAAGCTTTAGACACTTATAGACTTACTTGGGAATGAAAGAGTAACCAGAACTTTTAGACTTAGATTTAAAACTTTTTTACTGAAGTAAGATTGTAACGATTTTAAACAAAATGTTACTCAGGTTAAAGTATGCCAGAAAAGCACAATTACTTTAAAAAAGTTATTCAATTAAATGTAACTGAGTGCTTCCCCCTCTAGACGGGAGAAATTGGTGGAGATAAAACAGAGTTGGGAGAAGGAATGAGCCGAGAGAGGGAAGGCCTGATCGGAGCAGAGTACGGTCCACTGCCCCTCAATGAGCAGAGGTGCTTTGTCATCACATGTTGACACTTGTATCCACACATGGGATCTCTGTATCAGCCCCTCTCTGTGGCACATACCCCCGGGCTCAGAGTGCCGCCTTTGATGCGTTCGTTGTGATGCCAGCCTCGTATGCTAATATCCTATTGGTCTGTGATGAGGCCCAAGATAAATTTCTCCTGCACAGACAGCTCTCCTTTGTGGTCATTGTGATTGCATCAGTCACGTTTAAGATGGGAGCATGATCAATCCCCTCTTTTTGGAGCAGACTGTGTCCACAGACCACCAAGGCAACAGCAGACAAATGGCCCCGCTCCAAACACTAGGGGCAAATAGCACCTCCAGCTTCTCCACGTCTGAGCCCTGAGTAAGCACCAAGTAAATCATTGCGCAGGCTGTTCTACTCAAGGCTGACACAATACTACAGTCTCAACTGTTCAATGAAATCACTCTACTACCAGTGGTATATTTACAAACTTGTGGATCCACAAGAGCAATACTTGGTGGAAGTTGAATTACATAGCAAAAGTAACCTGAAAACACCACTTAAAAACAAATAGAAAAGTGATAAAGATTTGTAAAATAGGGTTCCATGTACACAAACAGAATAAAAAATGTTCTGAGTAAAAATCAATATGAGTACCTTTGCTGTCATTCTATTCCCCTTCTCTAATGACTCTGTCCAACAAGTAGCCACTCCATGGACACTGTTTAAGGAAACCAAATTGGAATAAAGGTTTTCCCCCTCCTCGTGCGTCAGAGTCTGACTGACAAACAGCTGACACGGGGAAATGCTCCGAGGCTGCAGTGAAATTACAGCCCTGGGTCTAATGGCCCCGCTCCTTTGTTTGGATCAAGGAGAACTTGTTCGGACATGTATCGCCTGTGACACGGTCTGAAGTCAACAATACAGCGGTGTGTCGATAAGAGAACAACTGCCGTCATTGTTCACATCAAACAGCGATGTGATAAGAAGCTTAGATGCGGAGCGGTGCCTGTGCGTAAAGCCGTGCGTAACGTTACCAAATTTCAGTCAGAGACTCCGGGTCACCTCCATCACCTCCAGAGCAGCAGTAAACCTGACTCATCCTACTTTATCTGTTGCACACGTTGCCGATGCCCCTTTCTCTCTTGTCACCCGGGTTACCTCGCGCTAATTCGCCGTGGAGTGTAGCGGATGGAATCATCCATCAAGAGTCAATAGTTAACGTCGGCTTTGTCTCGGTGCCATCAATCATAGTGACATGCGTGTGCACATACACACACACATATGTGCGCGCGCGTGTTACTCACAGGGCTCTACCTCCGACCCCGCGGGCCCCTGACCCTGCCCCGCTGGCCTGTCTGATGGCTCTCCTCCCTTCGACCCTTTCTTCCGTCCGAGCAGCGGGGGGCTCAAGAGACCTGCGCCAATCTCACCTCTGGTTTAATCTCCGCGTTACCTCCCTCGTGGGTGCGGGCTGCTTTTCCTCTGACGCAGGCCCCGTTAAATGGATAGCCCACCGGTCGAGGCCAGAAGCTGGATCCCATTACCACCGCTTTTATTTTTATGACGCACCGCTCAGGCGCATAGTGGACTGCGAGTGAACTTGGCCTCTTTAGTTTCCCTGTCTCCTCTCAATATCCAACTGCTGTGCAGACATGCAAATAGTTAACATATTCACTGAAAATTGTAGACTACACAGTGTCATTTAGTTTAATTACTTTTAACCCACCAAAATCAGGAGTCAAGAGCGCAGATAAGTTTGTGCTTTAATAAAACCACGTGCATTTATGGCACAAGGCACTCAGGTTTGAGCACTAGATAAAATTGCTGCTTAAAACGTGCAAAATCCAAAATCTATTCGTATCGTAAAGTTGCAGAGACTTGAACAGAAAATGACACGAGGCATCTCCAAATGAGCACCGCTAAACCAGCGCACTCTGGCTCAGGGGCTCCGTGTGGGCGTGTTTATCCGCGAGAGGGGCGTATGTCTCTCAGTACAAGTATCTCCGCGCGCTCTCTGTGCCATTCATTAAGAACTCCGCTTTTCATTACGCGCAGTGCCCAAGACCACAGCGCATTACGCACTTGTACCAGAAGTGGACAGCCGCTTACATTTCACAAGGACATCTAATCAGAGGGACATTTGAGGACACTTGGAGCAGTAAAAGGACAGACAGTGAGACTTGTGCACACTTGAACCTGACAGCGCATAAGATGGATCGCAAAATCCCTGACTTTGCCGGCACCTGGGAGATGAGGAGCTCTGAAAACTTCGAGGAGCTGCTGAAAACGTTGGGTAAGTGTCGTGCACGTGACCGTTGGACATCATTTTACCGCGAAAGTTTCTCCATTTGAAAACGTTCATGAAGAATGTCAAAGACCCCATTTGTCAACCGGATCTGCTGTGCATTGTAGGTCATCTCCTCCAGCGTGTCCGCGCGCTCGCACAGAGCACCCCGTGTACAGCCGGGGCAGGGGGTCTTTGTCATTCTGCAAAACCCAAAACTCTGCGCTCTTGCCCCCGGTCAGGCTCGCCCCCACCGCCCCTTTAACAACAATAGGGACAAACGGTGGCACATCTGTCTGCGTTACAGCGCCGGACTGTGAAGAGATCCGTCTTGACACGATACAGTGCTGGACAATCGCATCTGAAATAAGGACGGACACCTGCTGCGCGCGCTGTCTGCATGGGGCTTAATGTCGCATTGTAGGACGGACTAAAGGATTTGTACAATTTACAGCCATCTGTCGTTAGGGGTCCAAAAGATTAATGCACAGTGCACCAGGTCGTACAGAAACGTTCAATTTGGTCTAGAGTTAAAGGAACCACAACTAACGTTTCTGATGAAGGGTCTGTCTCCTGTTTGTGCACAAGGAGATGCTATTGCTTTCTCTGGAACGTTCCACAGTATGGCATTAAAAAACAAGCAAGTTACCGGTCTGAAACATGTGAGAAGTGCATGTATTTCAAAGTATCTGTACTTGAATAAAAGCAGGATGTCAGTTTAATGCCATAAAAAGCTTTAACATCTCCAATGGGCAGACCCTTCATTAGAAAGGTTACATAATCCACCTTTAAAATCACAATTTTCAACTTTCATGTTTTGCCTGGGTGCGTTTTCTCTGACCTCTGGTTTTCCACATCAACTTACAACATGTGCAATTGACAAAATTCTCCCGCTACTTGACCAAGCCCATATGGGAATGCAAAGTCTGGTTGCCCCAGCAGAGTCAAAGGATAAATTACACTTTGAGTCAATAAAATAAGCACAACCTTAACATGATATGCACACAGGGAAACGGTTTTCTCATAAGCCGCTGCAGTGTCCGTAAATCTGGTTGAAGTTACCCACAGATGGGCAAAGCCTGTCATCACCTTCCCCACCTCTCCTTCATTGGGCCTGACCACCAATTCTCTTCCTGAATACTTCCTCCTGCTCTGAACTTTGACCCTGAGCATCTATCTCTTTGTAGGTCCATGTGGCCAGTTCTGTGCCAGAGTAGTTTTCCAGTTCCAAAAGACTGACAGTTTGTCGAAAAGCTTCACCCCCTTCTGTTACTCCCAAATGGTTCATGGTCCAGCCCTTGACTTTAGGGTCAAACGACAGTCGTCAGGTGGTGTCAGTTGGCTTATTGCCTGAACTCCCAAAGGCACTCAGAAGGATGTCTCTTCCCACACGGACACAGGGGTCACCAAATGTGGGCACATATTTTAGGAAAGATAATAGAGAACACATTTCTTAGCAAGAAAATATATATACAATTTAAACAATACAAACACATCTTTATATATTTCTCTAAAATCTAAAACATTATCCAAACTTTTATTGTCATTGATTTGGCTCTAGACCATGTTCACTAAAAAGCACTAAAACTGATCACTGCAATCTTTAAACAATTGGATTAACATGTAAATATCTGCATAACACGATCTATTAGTTTCAGAATGATAAAAAATGACTTTAAATATATTTAATCTTTTGAGGTGCTCAAAATGATTATGAAACTAAAAGTCACAAATACCATGGGTTTCAGAATGATGAAGAATTAGGACAGTTGCCATGAATACAAATCATACATGTACAAATAAATAAAATAACATGAAATCAAAACAAACCCAACTCATCTAAGTTTTGCTTTAGAGAGAAGTACAAAAGACCCACATATAAAAAAGTTCGTAATAACTGCAGTTGTCTTTTGCACATGGATTTTTTTGTTAGATTTTGTGTGCTTTGATGCCTTTTTTTTCAGTTTAATTAAACAGAAAATCTTTGTCGACAACAGACAATCAGAACCAACATTAGGAAACATGCAAGTGGATAACTGTGCTTATAACATCTCCAGCACTTTTGTAGATTTGATAAATTCACATCTCTTCTTAACTGACGTCTGTGTACCTGTGTGAGTGCGCCCGTGCCCTTTCTACCCCTTCGGTGCGTACACATGACACGTAGTTGATGACAAAGCCCAGCAGCAGAGGCTCTGTACAGTGGATACAGTGGAGAGTCTGCACACAGTATGACAGGGCATTTCGGCGAGAGTATATATTTGCACTTGGTGACAGGTGGGAATGTGCCAGAGGTGAGAAGTGCCAAATCCAACGCAGCGGGACACACACACTTCCTACACAGATCTCTGCACTCCGCTCTGCAGCGTCTGTCCGCAAGCTCCGCCTCTGACAGCCAGCCCCAAAGAGCGTGTTTTTCCCCTCACATCACAAGTTTGGCTTTTTCACATTTTCCTTTGATATTTACTGTCTATTGCATGAGGATTTGGCAAAATATAAAAAAAGGGTAACACTGTATAATAAATAGTTAAAAGGACTATTACGATATTTTCTGATCTACGCTATCATGTTGTTTCCTCATCGAAAACATAGTCAGAGTTGTGTTTTGTTTCATTCACACATTAAAAAATAAATCCTACGGCTGAGTTCATCTCTCACATAGAAATCACTGTTCCACCTTGTGATGTCGTGTGATAATACAGGAAGTGCTTGTGTTTTTAAACTTCACACTAGAATGATTTGGATAATTTCATGCCTGAAAGTGTCTCTACTGAACTAAATTTAAAAGGTAGCTGTTAACTTAAAAACTAAATTTTATGACATTAAATGAGAACAATAATCATAAGAAAAATTATCATAATCATATGTAATGGATATAAACAAAAATGTAATTGTACTAGCAAAAAAAAGAAAAGAAACTACTTTCAGTTCTGGTTACCTCGTGGGCAATCAAACTAATAGGACAAGTTCCCAATCCACCAGAAGTCAAATAAATAGAGATGTGCATGTCTCAAGAATAATGGGAAAAACAGACAATAAATATAAAAAAAAAAAAAAAAAAAAAAAAAACCCAACCAAACAAAAAAAAACAAAAACAAAAAAATTGCGTCATAGTGAAGGCCCCAAACTCAAATTCGCCTATGGTCCCCAAATTGCTAACTCCACCACTGGGCTTATGGCTTATAGTTTAAATTATAGAGTTCAGCCTGAGTCATTCTTAATAAACTACTTGTTCATTATGAATTAAGTCTTTCTTCATGTTTATTAAAGCTTGTTCCCAGCATTTGTGATTACAGTTTTGTTAGATCCATCTCACTTTCAGGTTCATTACATTTAATCTGCACTTGCAATACTTATAATTAAAGAGGCTGATCTGTCACTCAGGACGTGGACTGACCAATTAGAGTTGGGAAATGTAGATGCTCTGGAATTTAACAGTCCCACCCACCTCCCATTCATTTTTCCCTTTGATTTCTAGGGCTAACTTTTATGAATGTAATCAACTGTGTGGCAATTAGCGTAAGACACATAATGTATGTGTCCATAAACCACTAAGATGACCAAATTCTAGGTTTTGAATTGTTTATGGACTACAAATTCACTGAAATATCATGATATCATATCATCAAAAGTCTCACAATAATATCGTGGGCTGTCACAATATATCGAATTACAAGTTTTTTTGCTTAAATGCTTTGTTTTACAGTAGCATCAGCTTATGAACATAGGGAACTACATATCCCATGATTCTTTTCAGTGCAGACAAGACAAAGAAATATGTTTTTTACTTGAATTCTTGGGATAATGATGGAAATAATTCACACCAAAGTCTTGACAAGGTATTTTAAAAGCAGAAACGTGTCCTATCTACAATTATGTCCAAAATATCACAATAAATATCGTACCATGAGATGCATATAGTGAAAATATCATACATACAAAACATCATATCGTTACATCCCTATAAATTATGCAGGGACATCATCACATAGCTGCTTTTAAACTCTTAATATTTGAATTTGCTGCAAAATGTATTGGAAAAATGAATGGGAAATCAGAAGGGACTGTTTAGCTTCATATATCTGAGCAATTTCAGACACTACAATCCGATTTTATCATCACCCAACCCCTAATTGGTACTACAACTGTCACAGGAGTTAGACTGTAGCACACGTGGCGAAATTTCCTGAACGTCTTTTTGCACTCTTCACCCCATTTCACTCAGAACTACCCTATCCAGCAACATTTCTGCTTTTGACATTCTTTGGAGACATGCGGTTTAGTTTTATTTTATGGTTTATTATTTACAACACTGTGAGAAATGCACTACAGCCGCCAGGAGAATGTTGCAGACACTGGCGAGGACATAAACGTGGAGATGACTGATGGTGATTGTGTTTGTGCTTTTGTTTTTGCGACTGTGGAATGACTTCACTGTTTCCCTCTCCTTGTTATTAGGTGCAGACTGAGTGTACACAAACATGAGGACTAAACATATGTTAGCACCCAAGGCCACTAATTACTACTACTACTACTACTATTACTACTACTACTACTACTACTACTACTTGCCTTTGCTGATGCTCCTGCTTCTGCTTACTGTTACTACTGCGATTACTGCTACCACTAAATTCACCCAAGGCCACTACTTGCTACTACAACTGTTTACAATTACTACAACTACCAGTAAAACAAATACTACTATTACAACTACTACCATTAAACGCAGTACACCCCAAGGTGTTTACTTGCCACTACTACTGCTTTACAACTACAACTACAAGGACAACCACTACAACTACTACTACTATTACTACTACTGCTGCTACTATGACCAAGACAAACTCAAATGTTACTTTTACTTTAAACACCAGAACTTCTACTAATACTACCTCCAAAACCACTACTACTTCCTATCCCACTAATACCTCAAGTACCAAGACTATTACTACAGAGATCTCCAATACTACTACTACTACTACTACTACTACTACTACTACTACTACTACTACTACTACTGCTACTACTATTACTACTACTATTACTACTATTACTGCTCTACCTACTGCTACTACCAAGATCAATTCAATTGTTACTTCTACTTTAAACACCAATACTTCTATTACTACCTCCAAAACTACTACTACTTCCTATCCCACTACTACCAACAATGTCTACTACTACTACTACTACTACCTCAAGTACCATGACTATTACTACAAAGAATTCCAATATTACTACTGCTACTACTATTACTACTACTACTACTACTGCTACTACCAAGACACACTCAAATGTTACTTCTACTTCTAAACCGATACTTCTACTACTACTACTTATGATCCTACTACTACCTCAAGTACCAAGACTATTGCTACAGAGATCTCCAATACTACTGCTCCTCCTACTGCTACTACCAAGGCAAACTGTACTACTTCCAAATCTACTACTACTTCCTATCCCACTATTACCAACAACAGCTTCTCCTACTACAAAGATCTCCAATACTACTACTACTACTAATGCTACTACCAAGACAAACTCAAATGTTACTTCTACTTCAAACACCAATACTTCTACTACTACTACTGCTACTACCTCAAAACTACAACTACTTCCTATCCCACTACTACCAACAACAAATTGTCCTACTACCACTACTACCTCAAGTACCAAAACTACTACTACTACTACTACTACTACTACTACTACTACTACTACTGCTGCTGCTGCTGCTGCTACTACTGCTCCTCCTCCTACAGCCAAGACTCAAATGTTACTTTTACTTTAAGCACCAATACTTCTACTACTACCGCCAAAACAACTATGACTTCCGATCCCACTACTATCTCAAGTATTACAGAGATCTCAAATGCTACTACTACTACCACTACTGCTACTACTGCTACTACTGCTACTACTGCTACTACTAAGGTTGCATATTGGTCCAAACAGATGTTATCATTGCTGTCATGTGATTCTTTCCATGGAACAGAGAAACTGTCTTATTACTTTATAGTTTTGGTCACATGAAAGTTGACTTCAGTTGAGTTCACTTACCTCCTCTTTGTTGTTCCAGGAGTGAATGTAATGCTGCGTAAGATCGCGGTGAAGGCGGCGTCCAAACCTCTGGTGGAGATCACACAGGACGGAGAGACTCTGTCCATTAAAACCTCCACCTCCGTGCGCACCACCCACATCACCTTCACCGTGGGACAGGAGTTCACCGAGGCCACGGTGGACGGGCGGCCCTGCTCGGTACACAACACAATACACATAAAGTGTTCATTTTGGTCAACGAGATGTCATTATCATATTTTCACTGACTAAAACAAGTCAATGAAAAACAGTACTGACATTTTAGTTGAAGAGTAAAATCTAAACAAAAATGAATCAAAAGAATGTTCCACTTTTCAATTCCAGACTTCCAAACTGGATCATAAAGAAACTCCACATCCAAGGAACATGTCTGTAAATGCACCATGGAAACATGACATAAAATGTATTATACCGTAGTTAAATAAAAAATATATATTTTCAGGTTGACTAAAACTAATATGGATTTAGTAAACGAAACTGGCCAAAGCAAATTCACAGGTCTGAGTTGTGGAAAGGTGGCTCCGCTTACAGTAGAATACATACTTTTCCAGGTATTGTTTTATTGTAAAAATACCTGTAATTCAATAATGAGTAAGTTTAATGCCATACTGTGGTACATTCCAGGGAAAGCATTCTACCTAGCATATCTCCACAGACACAATTAGGTGCTGGACACTTACCAGGACAGTTTCATAGTGTATATTTAATTAACCAATATTGCAATTTAGAGTTTAATAGCACAAAAGTTTATAGCAAATTGCAAACTATTGGGTCTTATGCATGAGCAGGTTACACATTTACAGACATGTTCTAATCTGAAATGCCTGGGATCTTGAACTTACCCTGCAGTTTATATTTCGACCTAATTGTTAATGCTTCTGTTCAAATGTGCAAACCCAATCATAAAATTTTTACTGCAATTACTGTCGCTGTTTTCCTAATTTGAACCACCCAAGACTGCAAACACACCGCCTCACTGTGCACACACACGGGTCAGTGTAAAAACATTGCTGAGGTGGTCAACTGTGAGTTTATCTGTTTCATTTGGCTTTTCATTGTTTTTGGAGTGATAGTGAATGATAACAGTCCCTCAGGCATGTCATGTTACAGTATAATCCTTCGCCCTCTTTTTGACCTTTTTCACTTCCACTCTGCCCTTTCCGCTCGCGTCCCTCCCTCCTGCTCTCCGCTCCTCTCCCTCTCTTTCCCATCAGTGGTTAGCCTGTCTCCAAAGCAAATACAAGCATCCCGCCAGCGCTCGCTGATCATGGGAGCATCACAAGCTTGCACTCACAGCCATGAAACTATTGATCAGGACTGTGCAATAAATACAATTATAATCAACAAAAGGGGGAACACTTTATAACTACATATATATAACATTAACTACACTTTTAATAACATAAATAAGGCATGAACAAAGACTTTCTTAATGAACAATTAATTCAGAATGAATAAATAGCTTTTTCAGGTTTAGTAATGACTTATTTAATACTCCCTAACTCCTTAATTAGCTTAGTAAACCTGAATAATTCATAAATAATGTTTTTCAGATGCACGCTTTATTACAGGTTGTTAATATGAAGTGATACCAAATAATTGTGCAATTAAAAAAAACTATTAATTCCATTCTGTTCTGACTGACATGGGTTCTTATTTTGCCCCTTAAAACCTAGAGCCTAAGTCTAATCTACAAGGACTTTCATTTCTTATAGAGATTCTCTCAACAGATCTGACCTGTAACTTGGCCTGCTTGTTCCATGGAGATATTAAGTTTAATGCCATGCTGTGCAACCTTACACTACCAGTCAAAAGTTTTAAAACACCCTAATTTTTCCAGTTATTTAAGCAATTCAAGTCGTGCAAGTCCAATGAAGAGCTTGAAATGGTACAAAGATAAATACTGAACAGCCAGAGGTTATAAAAAAAAGATAAAAGCTAACAAAACACAAGTCTAAGCTCTGCCAAAACTACCCCAGAAGAGTGAAAGTCAAGCAACCTACAAGTGCCACACATTTATGGGAACTTCTGTAACAGACTTGGGAAGAACTTTCTGAAGAATATTTGATTTGTATTGTAAAAAGAATGAGCCACGAGTGTGTTCAGCTGTTAAATCTGCCAAAGGTGGACACACTCATGAATCAAAAGTTTAGAATATGTTTTGGTCAACAGTAAACAGTAAAAAAAAGTCGAAAAAGTGTGGTGTTCTAAAACTTTTGAGCGGTAGTGTACGTGCAAAACAATAACTTTTCGATGTAGACATGCTGCAGGCAGACCCTCCTCTAGAAAAGTTACTATATACATCCTAAAAACATAAAAGAATTGCATCAGCCCTAGTTAAGATTTAAATGATGACCCCATGAATTGTTATATGGTGCTGTCTTGTTGTTTATTATCACAGTCTATCTTTCCTTTGCACTGTTCAGAGTTTTGTTTGTTGTGTTTGGTTGCAGAGTTTTCCGCGCTGGGAGACCGACAGTAAAATCAGCTGTGAGCAAACTCTGCTAAAAGGGGAAGGGCCTAAGACATCATGGACACGAGAGCTCACCAACGAAGGAAAACTCATTCTGGTAAATATTATACTAAATATTATCATTCCTTATATCCATACCCTTTTGTTCCATGCAGAGTTTTTGGTATAATTTAACTTAGAGCCATCTTTCTCCACTTAATATCTTATCTTTACCTAAGTTATTAGTACAAATGTATATTAATAGGAATGTAGTGTAATATTATGCAGTATAAATGTCTCTAGTAAAGTTCATTTTGACCTATACAGTTTATTTTATGAGGATACAATTCCTGTGGGGGGGTCACCATAGTCTCCTCTAATAACTGTACCATTAGTCATGTACTTTTTGTCTCAAGTCCAACTAAACTGAGAGGGTTTTCTTGTATAAAAAAACAACCAAACCAAACACGTGTGAGGCAGGTGACTGGCTGTGACAAGCCCAGAACAAAGTAATAAACTCTTCATCTGTATTTTACCCTCCACCAGACTGCTTATTTGTATACTTTAAAATGATTAAAAACTTATTTGCTCTACTATTCTGTTGGCAAAGCATAAATCAGCTTTAGTGAAGATAGCATCATGTGAAAACAAACTCGAGGCTAGATCCACACACAACAAACACATTAAGACCCGTCCAATGTTGTGACTTGCTGCAGACATGACTTTTATTTTTACTCAGTTAAATTACCCATAAACACAGTGGTACAGATTAGACCACACCCATGACGGTGAAAGTCACTAGTACTGAACATTAGACTAAAGCAGGGCTGGAATATTTCATACTGTGGCATTAAACTTATCTATAATCATGGAGGCAAGTGGGTGACACCGCCAGGCCAAGTTTCAAGTCAGATCTGTGTAAGAATGCATGTTTTTCAAGATATTTTTTGCCATAAAAACTGTAATTGAATAAACACCAGATAGATAATGCACACTGTGGATCATTAGGCAAAGCAATAACATCTCCATGGCGACTAGGTGGTGGCTCACTCACTAGAAAAGTTACACAGTGCACCTTTAATGAAGAGTTTTACAGCACTTGACAGAAAAGCATGTGGTCTGGGCCAGAGTCAGACTTAAAAATTGGATCTGGTGTGTCTCTGTTCACAAGTCTACTTAAAGAAAGTAATATCTGTGTTTTTAAAAAAAGACAAATTTAATTAAAAATGTAATTATATTTTTGTGTGGCCCTGGCCTAGACAAAGGTGTGACAGCAGCACCCTCACCCAACAACAGCGGACACACACTTTCCATGGTCCAACCCGACAAACTCTAAATAGAACCAAGAGTATTTTGGGCCTTTTGCTCCACTGAGGGTTGACAACAAGTTCAAGGCAGACTCAGTGTTCCTTAAAACCAAAATGACTAGTCTTTTCATAATGCTGACATTTCGAATACACTGAGGAGTAACTAAGGATTAAACAGGTGCTTCCTAAGGGATAAGTACTTAACAAGGGCACGTAATTGGAATAAACATATTTATCCAATTATGGGTGTTTTTATTGCTCAAAATACCTTTAAAAACATGCATTCTTACTGTGAGCATGGCCGCCTCTTCACAAATCTGACCTGTAAATTTGCCAACTTGTTTCTAAATTTAATGCCATACTGTTGAACATTGCAGGCAAAGCAATAACATCCTCATAAAGGCAAGCAAATGGCAGTACCAGAAAAGTTACATGCTGCACCTTTAAATAGATGCGTATCTGAGTATACATTTTAAAAACACGCAACACATTTTACATTTTTAGGAGTAATTTGATTTTGCTGTACGATGAAATGTATAAAAATCCATAAGATTACAATTCATTATACTTCTCACTAGCATCAGATAAAGTTGTACATTGTTCTAAATGTAATTCTTGTAACAAAATGCCCTCAACAAGGCCCTAAAACATAAAAGACGTTGCAAATATACTCTGAGAAAGACTTGATTCTAAAATATTGTACAAAACCAAAACATATTTCTATGAATGTACAGAGATTTGTCTTTTTTTAGTCCTGGTTTAGTCCTGATTTAGCCCTGGTTTAGTCCTCCTCATTAAGATTTTGTTTTCATTTAAAGGGTTAAAACAGGAATAAAGACTTTAAAGATACAATTTCAGAAATACTAAGGTGTTGTCCTGGTTTAAACCTGTTTTACACATGTTTTTTACGGGTTAAGACCTGGTTAAATCCTGGTTAAATCCTGGTTAGCTCCTCCTCATTACGTGCATGTGTTTCAGTCATGTAGCCTCGATCAGTCTCTACATTATATTTTAAAATACTTGCTCCATGCTGGTAAATAAACTTCATTCATTCATAGTTTTGTTTTTGTCCTTTGCAGACCATGCGAGCAGATGACACCATTTGCACACGAGTCTACGAAAGGCAATGAACCACAGCACTTTTGCATGTCCACACATCTAGAGCCCTTGTCAACCACACGTACATCGTCTAACCCCATTTTGTAACTTTCTCCTTTGTAACACGTGTGTCCATTGTACGTTATCGTAGTAGAATATAACACATTTAGCTTCACTTTGGTCTTAGCTCCGTGTGCCGTTTTGAATGACTGGTACCACTTCATATTAACTACAACTTAAATAGCCTTAATAAAGCATGAACACTGAATCCGAAATCAACCATCAGCTTTTTTAAGAATAATTCTGGCTTATTAACTACTTTATTAAATGGCCGGGGTTAGGAGGATTTAATTGAAATGGCCCATATTATGCTATTTTCTAATCTATGTTGTAGACAGACTAATAATGCAAGATTGCTCAAACGCGTAAATGAAATAAAACACTCCAGGTATGTTTTTGAGGGGATGACAACATTGTTACATATCTTAAAGCTCACAAGAGTCAGTTTTGCTTAATATAGACCTTTAAAGCAAAGAAGTGTTTCCCAATTTTTTTTTTCTGGACCCACATTTTAAAAGTCATATAACTTTGCAACTCAAGTCAATAGACATTATTCATAAATCACAAAATAAAGGTGGATTTGACCATTATTGAACATTAAAGAGGACTGAGTGATTGTGTCTCTCTGAACAATTAGTGCTTTTTTACAATTACTCAAGTTTTAAACAATGAAAAACAGTAACTGAAGCAGCAATAAAAGGATCCATAAGTCACCTATTTGGACATTAAATGTGCCCATTTCTTTTTCTTTTCAACATTCAGCTGAACTAGCAAAATTGGAACAAATTAGTCAATAAAATAATCACAAAAAGATTAGAAATTATACAAAACATGTCTTAACATTTCTAGAGATAGGTGGGCCTCTCTGCGTTTTTGTAGCTCGTTCCAGTCCGGGGTGCAGGAGCAGAGCGCAACACGCAGATCAGTGTCAGAACTATATACCGAAGACCTACATGCAGATCGTGACAAGGCGACCCAAAAAAAAAGTCTCTTGTGACCCTGTCTTTGGGAAACAATGCTTTAGAAGACCTGTACTTGTTTTTTTCCCCTGTGTATTTGGGCAAAATCTGTCTTTCAATAGTTCAGATATTTGCATAAGCAGCTCTTGAGGTCAACATAAGTGAGCTGTGTTCTCTCTGCATCTAATTATACAGTGTTTTACTGTCCGAGAATCAGGAAGTATGTGGTTAGAATGCTAGTTGTTAGCATTAAGTGATGGAAAAACTCTGCTCTGGTGTCTCAAAGTTGCAAAGATGTTCATAAGGTAAGTGAGGAATAACTTTGGATCACTGCAAACTGTATAAAATGAACTAGTTCTGTTTTGTTAAAGACAACATATAAATTAAGATTTTGTTCATGCTTCATAAAGGCTAATTAATGCATAGTTTTTATAAAGTGTTACCGATTGCTTTTGTATGCTTGCGTCTTTGAATGAGTGCATCCGACTTTTATTCTTGTAGATGTGTAAATCAGTGTATGAGCTCTTCCGATATCTGGTCAGTTTGTAATGCATCCCCCCCTTGTTGACTTTTTTATCACATGGCGTCATTTTATATTTATTTTACTATAGGGTCTGTAACAGTATTGCATTGGTTTTTATTTGAATCTTTCCTCTTTTATATAAAATTGTGACCATAGGAGAATTTCCGTGGCGATAAAACAATAAAGCACAGTATTACCCAAATGTTTCCTGTTTGTCATTTGCATAAAAATCATTAGAATCATTGGAGGTATTTAGCAGTGAGTTTGTTTTATGGTTTGTGAGTGCAGCTGCGTGTATGTGCACATTAGATAGGCCAGTTTTATTTTAAGCGTACTGTCAGCTGTCTGCAACTAGAATAACCGTACCCTGACAACACAACTCACTGCTTATTTTATCATTTCATGTCTGACTTTTTGTTTTTACGTTACAAAGTTGTTTCCGTTCAGTAGAGCTGCACAATATATGAAGATTTTTGTGCGATTATAACACATTTTTTTTACTTTTTGTATCAGTTCAGTTCAAAAAGCACATTTAAGAACAACGGGAGACAAAATTTGAAAGATTTGAAATATAAAATACTAAACTAATACAAGAATCTTGCATTTCAGAACATGCTTTTAGAGGTGTGTTGAGGGTTAAATAAAAAAAAAGACTAAAAGCATGATTTTCATTGTTCTGAGAATGAAAAACACGCTTCCTTCACATCTTTACAAAGCCGAAGCATGGTTTAACTTTCTCTATTTCCACCATGGAATCATGCAACTTCCAGAAAGTTACGCGGTCTAAATCATTCCAGCTTTTGGGATTTGGAAATATTCAGGGATATTTAAAAATTCCATCTCTGTTCTGCCATTTTCACTGAAACGTTGCAGGGAGCTTCGAAATAAAAGCCGTAACCGGTGCCAGGAGGTGATCTGATAAAATAGAGTCGACCTGACAAGTGACTATTCAACACATCATCAGATCGTGAACAAGGGGGCGGGGCTAATGACAGGAAGTGGCAGCTGTATTGTGGTTGATTGACAGCAGATGCAGTTAATGAGGAGAACGCTGTGGCAATGGAAAAGATCTATGACCCTGGGTTCACACCGCCTCACAAGTAAAAACTGGGCAGAGAATTCAAAGAGAGGAATTTTGCGAAGCTGGAACGACTTTTTCCAAACTATCTTGTCTTGACTTTTCGCTCCTCGCCCCGCAGCTGTGTGTAGTTACAGTGTGACCCCTATAAAGTCCCCTCCTCTGCCTGCCGCCCCAATAAAAGGGGTAAATAACTGCCCCTCCCTCACTGTTTATTACCCCCTAGGGCAGTAAAAGGCAGCTGTCTAGCCCCCTTCAAACCGGCCGGCCCTCTCTGGACCCTTGTAAAAGCACACATGCACGTCCCCACACAGTCACATACCAAACTCAAAGCATTCTGGGAAGTCTTCTCACTGTACGTGCAGATCATAAAGCAGCGGCCCGGCTCAGAAGGTGAAGACAAACGCTCGCATTCATCAGAGGTGTGGAAAAACTCTGAGGTGTAAGAAAAATACTGCTACTGCCACTTTGAGTCATTACAAGTACAACATTACCCGAGTAAGAGTATTGAAATTACTAGTGTTTGTGAAGGAAAAGTTAAAATCCTGTTTGTGAGAGAAACAAAGGTATGAAATCGCCCACAGAATCCTATTTTAATTTAATCAAAACACAATCGTTCAAATGATCAATGATGTGGTTTGGAGCAGAGTTGAGACTTTGGAGGAATACACGAGACAATAGAGAGATAATATTTTGTTTTAAAATTCCATAAACATGACCCGACTGTGTCCCCAGATATGAGGTATATTTTCAAATAAAATTGCTTTTACTGATAACAATTGTAAAGCTGATTTATTCGTAGCTGTGGGAAATTTTAAAATCTTGTTCCTGATAGCAAAAAGGTGTCAAAACAAGTTATAGCAGCTCACTTATTCTGCTTATGACAAGTACTAAAGATAATATAGTGCGACTGTGCAAGTGTTCAAATCAAACTGAATCAAGATCTAATTGTTTAAAATTGGGCAAAGAAAGTAAACTATTTTTTGTGTTAAACAGAACTATTCAAATTAAAATGTCCGTCGTGTTTCTGTTTGTGAAATTAACATATTAATTTGCTTTTAATGAGACAAAAATGAAATCAAACCAATAAATTGTGATGGTCGATAGAAGGAAACAAATCCATAATTTCTGACATTGACTGGGCTCGCTTCTCTACAGATCTGACATGTAACCTGGCCTGGTGGTGTTGTCTGCTTATTATGTTTAATGTTATACTGCAGAATCTTAAAAACAAGGTGATATCTCCACAGAGACAAGCTCAGGTGGCGCACACTCCACCAGAAAATGCACCTTTAATTCAATTCGTTCTAAATGTTTTGTTAAAAGGTCAAGCGATGCACATCTGGTATTTGATTATTAACAGTGCGACATGAGAAGGAGTCTTTAAACACGAGCCAAAAATGGTTTGAGCAAAACAGAAACAGACAACTTCTCACAGAAAAGTCAGGGAGTGAAATATTGCACATAAATCAGATCTCCCGTGGTGATGATTGACAGGTGAGCTGGAGGAGGTTGCCGTGGCAGCCCGGGGCCATGGCAGCCTCCATTTTGATAGATGACAGACGAGCAGTGTGTGTACATGTCTGCATACTTCCCCTAACATCGCAGAGGCACCATCTGGGTGATTTGTGGCGCGCTTGATGTAATTACCAACCAGCGGGTCAAATGTATAGAGATGTCACGGTTCGTCAATTTAGAGTTATGATTATTGGGAGAAAAAACACCACGATTTAACGATTATTCTAACATGTTACAGTATTTGACCTGGTTGGAATGGAAATGTGTAACTTTTCTGCTTGTGTTTGTCTCCATGGAGATGTTAATTCTTTGCCTAGATATTCAACAGTATGCCATTAATACATTATACAGTTTTTTTTTTTTTATTATCCAAAATATCTTGCTCTTACTGTGAGCATGGTCACCTCTCCACAGATCTAACTTATAACTTGGCCTTGCCTTCGTTTAGATACATAGCTATACTGTGGGACATTCGAGGCAAAGCAATAATATTTCCATGGAGAGAAGTCGGTAGCGGATCATCCACCAGAAAAGTTACATAGTGCACCTTTAAATTCTTAAATGGTTACATTTCTTAATTTTTTGCTCAGTTATAATTATTATTTTGTGGCTTGATTAACCATGATTTTCGATCAACCTAATCATCTTGACATCCCAAGTGTCCATCTGTGATTGGAGAGGCGATTTTTACGAGAGCATTGAAGCCTGCGGAGGGAAAGGCAGGATTCTTACGTTACATAGAGGACAGTGTTGACAGGTAAGTCTATAGATGATATTGATTTACATTTCGACATGCCCGCGAGGCTCGAGTATATGTAACGCGGACATGCACGGAGGTAAAGAGCACCAATCTCCCATATGGTGAGGGCAATTGGACCACCCAGGGCCCAGCAGGGGGAGGCCTGTAAAACACTGGGCCAGAATAGAGCTGAGGTCACTCACAAGATGGAACTGTCATTACCTCTGAGAGGCCAAAGGACATCACAGCCACAATGTCTGCACATGGACAAGTGCTGGTGAAGTATAATTATATGACTACATCCATGTATTAATGACATACTAAGAAAAATTGCACAGCTTTTTCTCAATTGAAATTACATTAAAGTTCGCGCTGTGTAATTAATAGAATTTGATTCAAGATTGAGGTTCAGTGAGTTCTAATCGTCATGATGGAAAGAGTCTACAGCCAGTCTTCTTTTGGTAAAACCTTGTGGCTTGGAGCAGAGTTCAGAGTTTGGAAAAGTCAGTTATTTTAGGAAATTAATACAGAAAGTATTTTTTATTTATTTTTTTTATTATGGCAATGCATGTAGTGCAGTTTTGGTCATTATTCATTTACTTCCCAAATAAGGTCAGTGATCAAGTTTTTCTGAAGCCACAGCTGCCCTGGGGTAGACTGACCAAAGTGAGGCTGCTAATTTAATTTATATTTGGGCAAGATGGGTGAATTCTCTTGCCCAAGTATACAAAGACAGTATGCACTGGTCTGAGCTGAGAGCACTACTGAGCTTTACTTAAGCCCAAGATACATATTTTGAAGTAAGAGTCGACTAAAGTACTAGTTTGGAGTAATTCAACCAACCACTGCAAGTCCATATTTCAGCCTCGTATGACACATGAACAAACCAAATGGTGCAATTTCTGGGTAACCTGTAATTCCTTTTAGCAAACAAAATGTCTAAAGCCCAATATTATGAAAGAGGAAATTCTCCTGAAGTGACTGCCTTGAGTCAGAGGCCATCCGGGCATGCGGTGAGCTCATTTGCCCACTAAACCTGTCTCTGTCTAATTCTGCAGGAGATGATTCATTTACTGAGAGGAGGAGGTCATATGCACAGACGTTTACGGCGCTGAAGAGAGGCCCTGAGATCTCTAATGAGACAATACCACACAGTCTCTGCTCTGTCTGTTTGAATGGAGCTTTTGTTGACATAAACACTGTAGTGATGAATTTGATTACAGGCAGCAGCTGACCTGTGGAGGGCCCGGGGCAGGAAACTAAAATGTGCTAACTCCAATGGTAAACAACAGTGTAACAGAGACAAGAGGTGGACAATGTGACCCTGTGAAGATCTGATTATCTGAAGTCATCCTTGGAAAGTCATCCCTCATATATTTTACAGTAGTTTTCCATTGTTGCTGACTTAATTATTTTGTAATTTTGATTTTATTACCATCTGCTTTGCTCTTTGTTATTATATTTGTATCATGTGTGGTACTGTTTTCAAGTCATTTCAAAGTTTGTGGATCAAAGTTTGTCGAAGTCCAAGGTTGCTATTGTGATTTTTTAACAAAATACTGCGTGTGTTACATGATTTTATATTTTCTTTATTGGTATACACACATGTTGATTAAAAAAAATAGAACTGGGTCATGCTGGAAACTGAACTGGTTTTCTGCTGCTGACACTCCTCTTCTGGCGTTTTCCAAGCTGTTTCTTTTATAGGGATTTCATTTTAGGAAATTTGCTTATTGTTCAAATATTTGCTTATGACACAGAGTCAGATTTTTTTTTTAAATCACAAGTAAGTACACAGATGTGGGCGGAGATATGGGGTATGTGAAAACAGAAATATACTGACTTTAACGTACATTTA